TTCATTTTAAACTTGTTTGTGAAGACTACTTAATACTATGTTTCTGCATAATTTTTTTCTGAAGAGCTAAGTGATATGCTTAGTTATGGAAAAAGGGATTGTTGCCTTTCAGTATGCTGTCTCAGAAATGTTTTGCTGGTTCTTTGACCTCATATGTCCCCTAGGACTGCTCTCTTGCAGCTTGTTCTTTATTGTGAAAGAAAACTGTCACAGCCTCTCTCTCTCCCCACTCTGCACAAAGCAGAAAAAAATTATTGTAGCCCACTGCTACGCAACGTATTTCTTTTAAATAATTAGGCCTTTAATAATATCTGCTTCCTTAGTTTCCTAAATGCTTGATTATGATTTTATTACATAGATTTGTAGAACACCCATTACAGTAGTAGCTGGACATACCTTGCATAGCTAAAGTTGAGTCATTAACATTCCCTGTAAAGGAGCAAAATACCATGTTCTCCTGCTGCCTTAGTTTTTAGCTAGAGAATTATATGGCCAGTTAGCAAAGTCCCCTGAAAAAGCCATGGTTAACAAATCAATGCATCTTGCAACTCTTTCACATTTAAGAATATTTCTGGTGTAGCAAATTTCAAAGATGTGGGGCTCATACTAGGATTGCCTCGCCTTAAGCTCTCATGAGCTGCATTCTTCAGACAGTGTGTACCATTGTTGAAGTTTTCCTTTTCACCTGCCTGACAAAAATACTCCAGAGTTTCATAACAGAGATGCAATGCCATAAAATAATCTGGAGTGTAAACTCTTTGTGACAGGGACCTGTCTTTTAGTGTTTTCTGAGAAGCATATTTGTGAGTACCATGCAATAAAATAATGAATAATAATGTGTACCTGTTTAATATGGTAAAACCACACTCATTCACACTGATCAAGAAACCACATGTGAAGTGTGCGTGGTTGTGAGCCTGTGTGTATATGAGATGTTGATGGTCCTCATTGGCCAGTCAAGGAACACGGTCCATCTACATTGATCCTGCCTGATAAAGTATGGTGATTGTGACAGGAGTGGAGCTGCTCTGTAAATTATTGGGCTTCCAGGTACCTGAAGTACAAATTAGCGAGGTTCTGCTGAATTGTCTAATTGTATTTCTGTTCTGGAGACAATCATTCATAATATAGGCTACTTTTGAGAAAACACACTGCCCTCTAGTACAATTTTCAGATTCTTGGTTATGATGACAGCAGAAATGTTTAATTCTTTAGACATTCTTTGAACTTGGTAGATCAAAAGCTATGTGTAACACATTTAATTTGTTAAGAAAATGCGGTGGTCCCTAGCATCAGTGTTTTTAAGATAATGAAGTATGAAGATACTATGTTGCTCGAAGTCATCAGAAAATACAGACTTATCTATTGGCTCTATTGCATTTCAAATAATTACATAGCATAGTTCTGATAAAGATTTCAGGACTTTCAGATGAGTTTCAGATATGCCAAAATTGCTATTTCTAAGTATAATTAAATACACATACTTAAAATGCAAAGTGTTTTTATATATACATCGCCTTCCAATTTAGGAGCTCAAACTGCCTTACAAACAATAATAAATTAAGCCTCACAGATCTGAGAGTGTTAAGTAAACATTATAATCCCCATTTTTTAAGTGGGGGAACTAAGGCTGAAAAGTTAAGTGACTTTCCCATGATTGCACAGTTGAGAAGAAAACTTGTCTCTTGACTCCCATTCATGTGCTGTAATCTCTGGACCAACTGCTGTGTTATGTTCATTATATTCATTATTACATATAACTGAGGAAGGATCAGTCTTTTGGTTAAAGCTGTAGACTAGAAGTCGGGAGTTCTGAGTTCAGTTCCTATTTCTGCCACAGACTTCTTGTGTGACCTTGGGCAAGTTACTGAATCTTTCCATTCTCTATCTGTAAAACAGATATAATACTTCCTGTTGTCCACTCTGTGCTGGTCTTGTCTATTTAGATTGCAAGCTCTTTGGAGTAGAGCCTGTCTCATTGTGCATACCATGATGGAGCTCTCATTGCAATTAGGGCTGGTAGACATCTGCTAGTGCACAATCTTTTGACAACCACCTCAGATTGCTGTGGTAACACATTGTACAGACAGTACAATTCTATGAGAACTTGATTTTGTTTAAAGAAAAATTTTAACTTGAAATCAGCCTGAGTCCTTCTGCCTGTTTTAGTGGATTTTAATCACATTTCATATTTTTTTTCATTTTGCTTTGTGAAAGACCCACACAGACCAGAGAAATTGACTAACTAGCAAAAAGCCTAAGTCCTGCAAACAGTTATTCACGTGCTTAACTTTAAGTATGTGAATGGTCCCTCTGATTTTAAACAGGACTATTTTTGTGCTTAGCGCATGCATAAATATTTGTATATTGGAGCCTGTAACAGGGTGGCTTGCCCCTTTAAGAGCTAGAGGCCTGGGGCCAGCCAACTCTAGTTACTAAGGAAGCACATCTGAGCAGGAATCAGGTGATTCCCCTATAAAGAGTAGCAGAAAGCTGCAGAGAAGTGGGGATACTCAGGGAAGCCAGAGTGGAATACAGAGGCTGTTATGAGTGAGTAGGCTCCAAGAGAGAGACCTGGGATTTGGGAATGAGTCTGTAGACAGGAAAAGCCTAGGAGGATCCCTGATAAGAGGGTAAATTGATGGATTTGAAGAGACTGTATTTTGATCTGTTTTTGATTAAACCAGACCCCCAAGGAGGGGTAGAATTGGATGGAAAGAAAGCAGACTCCACGGGAGTAAAAAAGACTGCAGCCAGGTAGGGCTGAGAATAGCTTGCCAAGGCAGGGAAGAGCTGCAAAGAACAGACTCATGGGAAGAAGAGAAGCCCCAGGACTGAGTTTTGCTTTTTGTCTTACGTCAATAAATTACATGCTGGGAGAAGGGGCATAATTGAACAAAAAAGCCTTTGAAGTTTATTTGAAAAGTCCATTTAAGGGAAATCTGAGGCAGGCCGCTTGTAGCGCAACCAGCGGTGGCTCCAGGCACCAGCGCTCCAAGTGTGTGCCTGGGGTGGTAAGCCATGGGGGGCCGTCCTGCCGGTCCCTGCGAGGGTGGCAGTCAGGCAGCCTTCGGCAGCATGCCTGCAGGAGGTCCGCTGGTCCCGCGGATTCGGCAGCGATTCGGTGGCGGGTACGCCGAAGCCGCGGGACCGGCGGATCTCCTGCAGGTGCGCTGCCGAAAGCTGCCTGCCTGCCGTGCTTGGGGCAGCAAAAAAAAGTTAGCGCCACCCTTGAGCGCAACAGAGGATGGCCCATTGGCAGAGTCTGTTTGCCTATACAAGGGGAAACCGTGAAACAGACAGCCTGCTTTCAAATGCACAAAATAAACTGAGAAGATAGGGATATTTTTTCTTAAATCCTTCTATTTTATGGTAAATGTATTTCATTGTTTGTAATAGCAGTAACAAAAAATTCAGACAGTGATTTTTAATTTGACTGTGTTTCTTAATTAGATTACAGTGTCTGCTTCAAAATAGTGGCTTTAAACACGAATAGTAAAACTTTTTGCGGATACAGACTAACACGGCTGCTACTCTGAAACCAGTAAAACTTTTGTACAAAGCTTTTTTTTAAAAAAAGCACAATTAGTACATATCCTGAATCATTTACATTTTGTGAACATTTTATGTCTGAACTAGTTTAAAGGAAATATTTAACAAAATTCTGATTTATTACTTTTATTTGCCCTTTATTGGAAAGAAAAATGAAAATATATTTTCTCCTGAGCTATTTTCAGTTAACATGAAATGAACAGTGTGTTTCCTAGTTTCAGAATTTGCTAGTTTTAACTGGTCCCTCAGTTTATGGAATTGATTTAATTAAGCATAGTATTCTTCCCACTCTCATGTTAATACTCATATGAAAAGAACAACCACTATTTCCCACCACCTTCTTATTTTCTTGCATGCTGCCCCTTGCAAATGTTTTCCCCAAACTTACTCGTAAGGCCACTACTCATTCACTCTTCAAGTCCCTCACTTGAAAGAACCACTTCTGCTGCAGCACTTACAAGAAATCAGCCAGCGAATATTGTCTAGGGCCTTTATCATTCAAGCTGTTTGACTGTGTCCTCTGGAGTCCCACTGAAGCTAGAAGGGTTCTGTGGAAGGGAAGGAGCTGAGGGCAACTGGATTATTTAAAAATCCTTGTAAAACTGTGTAAAGCCATATTCACTTGGTGACATCATGGCAGAGGTAAGTTTTAAGGAGGGAATTAAAAGAGGAGAAAGTGGCTTTGTGGATTTTTGCAGGGAGCTCCTCCCACTCATAGGGGGCAGCATGGGCAAAAGCAGAAGAGTTCACCCCAGTATATTCTCCACAGACTTTAGGGAGTAACCGGGTGATTTAAGATGAACATGGAAAAGTCTGAACCTTTCTTCAATGTGATCTCCTTTTGACATTTATACTATTTAGACTGGCTTTTTGTGGGTTTAAATATTTGGATATTCATATTGTATCCAAATGCCCGACTTAGTTCTAATTGATATTAACATTACTAATATTAAACAAGATTTGATGGGACCCATAAAAACAGAAGTGCATTAAAATAGAAGTTGTTGGAGAGAATAATCAGAACAGTTCTTTCAGAACTTTCAAGCAGGCAAGGCTTGGCTCTAGAGAGAGCAAAAGTTTGGAAGACTGAGATACTCAATTTTGTCCAAACTCTTCCCTTCCCTTCATTCTCATTTTTTGTGTGTCCTCTAACGTACAACTAAACAATAATATTGTATTATGTGGATCCTCATGCATTTCCCCCAGTTTTTTTTTAACGTGTTTTATGGAGGAAATTTAGAATGAGCAATGGAATGTATCTCTTGACAGTTGGGGGAAGGATATTTCAAATGGTATTTACGGGCATATGGATCTCTTTTTATAATTTTTCCTTCTTTTCAGTAATATGCCCTCCTATGTAACTATCAGCATTTATTTTACTTATATAAGTATAAATCAGGGGTTTATTTCAGACTGAAGAATGATTAATAATATTTATTTCATTTTAGGACATTTTGTACTACGAACAGCTTAAGTCCAATGTGATTCAGCATGATCTTTTAGTGGACAGCCTGATTTACAAAGTGAGTAATTCATTAAATAGTGAGTATTTACTGATCAAAGCAATAACTCCGTATAAAGAAAACACAAATGTTCTGGTTATATGGAGCATGGGAATAAAGCGTGCTCATCTTTGAGTGTCCTCTACATATTCCCATTCGTGGGATGTGCTGGCTACTGCAGACTGGATGGTGGAAACTTCTTGTAGCAGTGCTCTTTGGAGTCTTCACATCTCCCTTTTATCCCTCCCTCAGTGTTTCTGAATGTGTGGTGCTCTGTGCTGCCTCATTTCCTTCCAGCTGCAGGAGCGGGAAGATGTGAACCTCTCCGGATGCTTTGAATCCAGATCCTTCTCTCAATAAGATTTTAGTACCTTAGTCTAGTCTAGCTTTAGCATTAGTACAGTTAGTATTAGTTATGGGATATATTTAGTTAGTCAGCTCTTTGATTCTGACTTCTGGTTCCATGGTGGATCCAAAGTTGAAATAACCGGATTTTAAGTGTGTGTGTGTGTGTGTGTGTGATATCATGTGGTCTCTCCAGTATCAGATGCTCGCACTAGATGTTTAGATGGCATGCCTGGATGAAGGCCACTCTTCTTCAAGATGCTCAAACTTCAGCACCTTTACCCTGTGAACACATAAGGAGTAGCAGAATAGGCTACAAGCTTTACTGTCACAAGAAGCACCGGCTGTGAAGCCTTTCTGCTCCAACTCTGCTAAAGAATCCAAGCTTAAAGATAGGAAACTGATATAATGCCTAGAACCTTCCAGACCTTGCAGTGCAAAAGACACTGGTCTCCGAGCTGGGCTCTGGGTCCAAAGCTATTGCATTATCGGTATCTAGCTTTGAAGCACTTAAAACTTCGATTGGTTGTGGCCTCTGACATGAGAGCCAAGCCACAACAGATCCAATAAACCTTGGTTCCAAGAAAGACAATATCAAGGCTAAGCATGCTCTGAAGGCTGAGACAGAGCCACATGCTGGGGATTCCTCAGATCCCTCTGAGCAAGATCAGAGCCTAACTGTTCTGAAGCCAGAGAGAACAAATGATCCAGAATGGAGAAAACCTCTCCCAACGGATCTCTCCTCAGTTCAGAGGGTTGCATCGGCTCTGAAAAAACCTCTGTAACTCTTGTTGCTAGTACATCTGGTTCCTATGGCTCAGGTGCACACAGAGCCGCAGTTGGAGTGTTTCCCAGATCTGAATGAGAGTCATCCTTCTACAGCAGATGAGAGGAAGAGAGAGAGGGATCTATCTTGGTATTCCCTGGCTGCTTCCCTAAGAGTCAGCCAGGTTCCCCTCCCCACCATTGTAATCCATTGTTTAGAATAGATGCTAGGATCAGTTATTTTGCCAATAGTGTGATTGTCAGATCTGAGATCAGATCCACAATCCGAAGAAGAATTGGATCACATTAGTGTTACTGATGTTCAACTGAGCTTTCAGTCACAAAAACCTGACTATACAACTAGATATGATCTGTGTGGATCATCTTGTCCTATGAGATGTTGCCATAGTTTGGTTAATGGCAGGATTGGCAAGTGCCACCTTGCACTGTGTGGCCATATTGCCCATTGCCTAGGCATCACAGAGACCTTCTTTAGCCTTACCAGCATAGGCACTCATCTCCGACTAGAGATAGGAAAAGGTTCAGACCTCAGATCCGAGACCTTTTTTTGTATCTACTTACAGAGAGCACTTTCCCACTATAGTGTTGGATGCTTTATCTGAAGAAGAGAAGCCTGTAATTCAAATGGAATATCAGCAGTTATAACCAGAGCTTGAGAATGATTCTTCTCCTGATGCGAATGTTGGTAATGCTGCAGTCTCTTCACCTTTTGGAGGATTTGCAATTTAATTATCTCATGGGTAGAATGGTTACAATATTAACGCTCCTGTCAGTTGTTTTAGAGGAGACTTCCCACCTAGTTTTTGATATTTTCGGTTCTAATGCAGAGTAAGGTGTGTCTCCAAGTTTTAGATATGACTATCCTGCCTGACCCCCCTGGAAGCTAGTACAAGCCGCTGACCTTCCACCATAATCATGCTGTTATTTTTAGTGTGCTAGCTCTGGCAGAGCTAGCACATATCTGTCTACTGTGCTGGAAAGCAGACTCCTAACTGCTCGGTAGACATGCCGTATGTTCAGAGTGTTGTCTTTCCCGAAGGAAATTCTTTCATCTTTGTCATTGTGGATACTCTAAGAGAATGTTCTGAAGGGGGATCATTCAGTTTTCGTAACTCCACCATTGACAGTCACTTTGGATGAGTCTAAGAGTAGATGGGCAGTGCACCTTCATGATCTGTTAATTCAGGACAATTGGAGTTATGGAGAAAAGAGATTTGTATGTTGTTGGAGAATAACAGAGTTTTTACTTTTTGTTTGGGTACAGCAAGTTAGATACTTTATTTTTTTAAGCAATTGCTTATAAGGGAGAGAGCTAAACAGGTTTCTTAACAGGTAAACAATTACAGCAAGCATTTATACCTTTTGTTACAGATAACAATGAGCAACAGCTGCATTTTGTTTATACATAGGTTATTCTGATATTTTGTTTTTCTTCCTTGTTTAGACTTTAGTTTACATACAATATTATTTACACATTATTTACACAAGGTTGCAACAACTTTTTACACAGTTGTTTTTTTTACTTGCCTTACACAATTCTCGCTTTTACAAATTTTGCGTTATTAGAGTTACAGTTAGCCTGACTCTTGCTAACAAACTGTTATGCATTGCAATTTCCTTTTTCTCAGTTCTTTTTCTGCTTCCACAATCCCCCTTTTTGTACTATTAGTACAACAAACCTTTTTAAATTTTTATGTGCGTTAAGTTTTGGAATTTAGATTTTACTTTAAATGCTTTAACCTTAGGGGTTTTGATTGGATGTAATGACAATGCATGATGAACATGGACATGAAAGGTATTACTATTATTACGTCCTTTGTAACAACAATAACATAATTCTAAGCTAACTAATAGCAACACAAGCAATAACATTTTCATAGCAATAATATGATGGGGTTGTTGTACAATTTTAGTTATAAATCACAATACATTATACTTAGTACATAAAGTAAACACTTTGTAAGCTGTATGAAAGGCATACTTTTTAACTTGATATGTATTTTGAAGCATGTGAATTTGCCCTTGTATTTTAGAGATTTTTTTGAACCTTTGGTAACAGTGAAAGCAAATTTTGAAATTGATTAGGCACTAAACTAGTTTAATTAAAGGGTATTTGGAACCTAAGGGCTACTTGCAAAATGTTATCTGCAGGCCAGTAAATAATATGATTGCCTGCAGTGATAATGAAATTAAAATGTATGTTTTGCAATGTGGTGGCTTTAACATACACACAGCTATTATTAGCTTGAAAAAGTAAGTGTTCTGTTAGGGTAGTTTCTTGTTTTCTACCTCCCAGCAAACTTAGTTATGAAGAGTAACAACTTCTCCTGGCTTCAGTTTATGGATACACTGAAGCTGTGGAGGTTCTAAAGGCCAAAATGTTTATTGACTTTCTAACCCCATTTAAATGTCAGATGTAATTTCAGGAGCACTGACTAAAAATTGATTAGTTTTTAATGTTTTTTGTAGGCAGGAATTTCTGGACTTTGTGGTTTTAATGATAACTAGAATTGAGCAATTAAAAGCATAGATCATAAACCAGGCAGTAACTCAAACCTACACCCAGGGCAAGTTGCAAGCCATGAAACAGAACTTCCAGGCAGAAAAGGAAGCACTTGCTAAGCAAGTACCGGTCCTTCAGGAACTTGTCAAAATTTATTATTTGTACTTAGCCTGGTCTGCTTTGATTCTTGACCTTGAACGCAGATTAACTTTCTCTTTATCTCTGGACCAAGCTGAATTTTAAATTAACCCATTCCTTTCCTTAATAGACAAATTGCTCCCATTGTGTGTCAGAGGCTTTTTGGTGATTAAAAGCTCCTCTGAGATGTATGATCTTATTTAGATTGAAGGTACCTTCTAGTGGGCATTGTTTTAGATGGATTTGCATGCGTGTAATGATTCCAATTCTCTAAATACTTGCAGGTTTTAGGACCATAATGTACGTACATGAAATAAGATGGGGTACCCTTAGGGGGTGAGAGGGAATGCTTAGACTGTACCCCACCCATTTTTCAATTACACACACACAGGGAGGATGCCCTGTCCGCGCTAGCGGCACATAAACTCAGGATCTCTCCCTACAGGGTACTTACACAGGAGAGACTAACGAGAATGGCCACGACCCTTTTACACCTTCCTTTAGCAAAGAGCGTCGGCTAGTCTGTGGGAGACGGCACCGCTTACTCTCTTTGCATCCAGCCAGATGATCAGACTGTCAGTGGCTCACACAGAGAGGAAGGGGAGGGAAGATGGGTTTACACACTCCTAGACCCAGGTAGCTTTCTTGCCAGACGATGCCAGGCCGAGTTAGCCCACCGTGGGTTGAATCTTCTAAAAGATCCTCTAGTTACCAGGCTTGCGTTAGAGTAGTTCTGGTCACGAGCCAAAAGACTTCGCAGAGTACTCTGGGCGTCTTCCGGTAACTTTTATTTACACTGGTGTACACACACACACACCAAGGCCTCTATTTCTAAATACCACGATGCATCTGTACCTTATGTCCGGACTTAATACACTATGAGGTGGTAACAACCCCTCTTGAGGCGGTAACAACCCCTCAGCACCGGTGCATACCTAATGCATTTCTCTTATGCATATGGGGGCGGCCAAAGTAACAGTTCCCCAGAACAGCATAAAACTACCTTATTGGGGACGGCAAAACAATTCCCCAGAACCGCTCTGCATCTGATCTTGCTGCACAGTTAATAAGTTCAGATGGCGTGAGCCCAACAGGGACTGATGGCCCCACGGACAGTTCTCCTCCGACACCCCAATAGAGATTTTAAAAGGTCTCCTACCTCTATTGTGGTGCCATGGAGTTCGAAGGGGAACGATCCATAGGAGCTGCTGGTGCCTCTGCGGGCGTTACCATCCCGGACGAGCCCCCAAATTGTCGGAGAATAACAGAGTTCTCACTTTTTGTTTGGGTACAGCAAGTTAGATACTTTATTTTCTCAAGCAATTGCGAAGAGGGAGAGAGCTAAACAGGTCTCTCAACAGGTAAACAATTACAGCAAGCATTTATACTTTTTGTTTCAGACCATAATGAGCAACAGCTGCATTTTGTTTATACATAGGTCATTCTGCTATCTTGTTTTCCTCACTTGTTTAGACTCTTGTTTACATACAATATTATTTACACATTATTTACACTAGGTCGCAACAACTTTTTACACAGTTCTTTTTTACTTGCCTTACACAATTCTCACTTTTACAAATTTTGCGTTATTAGGGTTACAGTTAGCCTGACTCTTGCTAATAGACTGTTATGCATTGCAATTTCCTTTTTGTCAGTTCTTTTTCTGCTTCCACAATGTAAACTGGAGATGAGTGCTATCTGTCTAGCTGTCAAATTTTTTCTGTCTCACATCCAGAACAAAGTAGTGCAAGATAACAGCAATGAGAAGGGAGGAGCTCACTCATCTGAGCTGTGCGAAGAGGCAATCTAGCTATGGTCCTGCTGTATCCACTACAACGTCTACCCAATTGCCCTGAACTTAGGGGGCAAGTACAGCAACATAATAGATCAGTACTGTGAGGCAGTTGCATGAATGTTCTGTTAAGGGTTCAGTAATTCAGGACATATTCATTCTCTGGTGGTTTCTGGAAGTAGATCTCTCTGTCACGAGACAGAATATAAAATACCCTTGTTTCTGCTCAGAATGGACACATTGGATGCTTTCCTTCTGAATTGGGGGATGGGCCTGTTATATGCTTCCTCCTTTTCCTCTTATACAGCGGGTCATAAAGATAAAGCACAATGGGGCCAGAGTAATTCTAATAACTTCCACCTCGCTGGGACAATGGTGGTATAAGGACTTTCTTCACTTCTCTGAGGGGGTTTACAACCTTCTGCCAGTGATGGCAGCAAAAGCTGTTTTCACAAGTGCACGTGGAGGTTCATCTCCCAGGCTCTCTTTCTCTACATCTAACTGCCAGGGGTTATAGGACTTTAATGGATCTAGAAAAAAATCTTGCATGTTAGAAGGTTATTTCCAGGAAGCAATCACCCAGAAAGTGTGGAGTTTAGGTGGTATAAATTCATGACCTGACAAGTGTATAGATTCTGTGTGGGCACCAATTTAGTATATTAATATTTACTGCATGTAAAGTCTCTAGACCTGTTTCAGAATACACGTAACAGCAATAGCAGCACATCATGTACTATAGATGCACATGACACAGTTAAAATATTTATGAAAGTGTCAGTTAATATGTACTCACCAGTGAAAGACTCAAATCCATCATAGGAAATTAATTTGGTCTTCACCCAGCTTATGAATCCTACTTTTGAACATAAGGTGGATGGTTCCTTATTTAATTTGTTTATTTAAGCAGCTTTTATAATAGCCTTTACATCAGCAAGGTGAGTGAGTGAGTTGCATGCTCTTATGGCTGACCTGACCATTCACTGTTTTTCAAAAGATAAAATTGCCCTTAAACCTCATCCTAGAATCCTTTCAAAAATGGTGTCTGGATTTCATATCAATCAGTTAATTGCTGGTTGCCTTTCCAAGCTCTCGTGCTTATAAAAAAGAATCTACACTACATATTTATGGTAGCTGTGTTAGTCTGTATCAGAAAAAAGAATGAATAGTACTTGTGGCACCTTAGAGACTAACAAATTTATGCAACAAAGCCCATTGCCAACTCTGTCCACAGATCTATTCAAGGGACACCATCATAGGACCTAATCACATCAGTCACACCATCAGAGGCTCGTTCATGTGCACATCTACCAATGTGATATATGCCATCATGTGCCAGCAATGCCCCTCTGCCATGTACATTGGCTAAACCGGACAGTCTCTATGCAAAAGAATAAATGGACACAAATCAGACATCAGGAATTGTAACATTAAAAAAAACAGTCGGAGAACACTTCAACCTCCCTGGTCACTTAGTTACAGACCTAAAAGTCGCAATTCTTCAACAAAAAAAACTTCAGAAACAGACTCCAATGAGAAACTGCAGAACTGGAATTAATTTGCAAACTGGACACCATTAAATTAGGCTTGAATAAAGATTGGGAGTGGATGGGTCATTACACAAAGTAAAAACTATTTCCCCATGCTAATTTTCCCCCTACTGTTACTCACACCTTCTTGTCAACTGTTTGAAATGGGCCATCCTGATTATCACTACACCAGTTTTTTTTCTCCTGCTGATAATAGCCCACCTTAATTGATTAGTCTCGTTAGAGTTGGTATGGCAACACCCACTTTTTCATGTTCTCTGTGTATATATATCTTCCTACTGTATTTTCCACTGCATGCATCCGATGAAGTGGGTTTTAGCCCACAAAAGCTCATGCCCAAATAAATTTGTTCGTCTCTAAGGTGCCACAAGTACTCCTTGTTCATTTTTTCTTAGAGCTTCAAAAGTTTCCTAAAATTTTTATTTCTTATGCTGACAACTATAAGGGTCATGCTATTATCTAGGTGTTAGAAAGCATATAGGACAGGGATATACAGTTGCATTAGATCCTCCTTCTGCAGAAGTTAGGACATTGGCATGGGGTGTCTGGGCCCTTTTAAGCGATGTCAGGACCAGTCTGCCTGTGTTGGACTTCGTAAAGGAAAATGAGCCCATGTCAGCCACATGTCAGCAGCTAAGTGCCCAGGTTAATAGGTTAATTAGCTAACAAACACCTGGATCTGATAAATAGCTACCTATGCTCAGTTGGAGGAGGGTGCTGCTAGGAGGCTTGTAAGGGAGAGGTGCTCCCAGGGAACACAGCAATAGAATCCTCAGGAAAAGGAATTTATGGAGGGACTTCCTAGATAGTTGCAGAAGGCCCAGCCTGTGAGGAGCTGCATGCTGCCAGGTGAGGATCTATATTCAACACAAAATCCCTGCAGAGGCCTTATAGATTCATAGATTCTAGGACTGGAAGGGACCTCGAGAGGTCATCGAGTCCAGTCCCCTGCCCTCATGGCAGGACCAAATACTGTCTAGACCATCCCTGATAGTCATTTATCTAACCTACTCTTAAACATCTCCAGAGATGGAGATTCCACAACCTCCCTAGGCAATTTATTCCAGTGTTTAACCACCCTGACAGTTAGGAACTTTTTCCTAATGTCCAACCAAAACCTCCCTTGCTGCAGTGTAAGCCCATTGCTTCTTGCTCTATCCTTAGAGGCTAAGGTGAACAAGTTTTCTCCCTCCTCCTTATGACTCCCTTAGTTACAGGGAAGGCATCGTCGAGAGTGCCTTGCGGGTAATGAGCTTGGCCATGGGATTGCTAGACTCAGGTGGGACTAATAAACTCAGATGTAGTTTGCCTCCCTGCTAAGAAGCTTGGGTGAAAGTCTTTCTTGTGTGTCTGCTGAACTTTCTGTTAATAAATCCAGACCCTCAAAGGTGTGCGGGGACAGGGGGGTGTGGAGGCGCTATTTGATACAACCCAATCTGGGAAATTAAGACAGGGTGCACCTGCACTGCTGCGTCTGGACACAAGGGGCCACACAGGCGTGGCACACATCTTTTATAGACACACTTGACTTTCACAGTGGTTACCTCTCTAGCATGTCCAGAAATGTTCTGATTGTTGAAATATGTAAGGTTGCTACTTTGAGCCTCTAGTCACACCTTTCCAAAATACTGTTCATTAGATCCAGCATCTAGATTGGCCCTGCTGAACTGAGCATCCATACTACTATCTTTATTCAGTTACGACACTGAATCCCACCATCCAGTCATGGGGTGTTGCTTGCCAAACTATCCCATGACTCAGTATATGCAGAGGACACTTGAAGAAGAAATGGAGATTACTTACTTGTAACTGGAATTCTTTGAGAGGGAAGCTGCACATTCCCATTCCCTGCCCACCTTCCCCTCTTCTTCAGAGTGTTAATGAAATATTGACTCTGCGGTGGGCTAGAAGGAACTGAGATGGGACACCATGCCCCCTTTTATAGCCTCGCTCTCAGAATGTTCACAAACATTGAGAGGAGGGGCAGGAGCAGCAGTAGGGATGTGTGATCCCCTAACAGGCACTGGTGTGAGAAGTTTCCACAGTCCAAGCTGCACCAGCCAATGCATCCCATGAGTGTGAATGTGTGGAGTCCATCTTCAAGTATTCCCATTACAAGTAAGTAACCTCCTTTTAGCATGAATGACAATTGTAGAATCCAGTCGTTATTTAAAAATCCCCACAAGAACACAGAGGACTTGTCTGCAGGATTGAGCCCTAAACTGTTGATGTTTGGGGTGACTCAAGGATGCTTTTTGTTTGATGCTGGTCTGAATAAACACCAAGGGAAGAGCTTTTGGTCTCCGAGTTTTAGTCCAGAATATGATTGTAATCAAACCATTGTAGTGTTTTTGTGTTGTAATTGTAAATTTGAAGTCTGTGTATGACATCAGCTGATAAGTGACAGGAAACTCACTAATGCTGAAACAATGTCCTCAACCACTATGCTGGGCCTAGATTCTGCAGGCATCACCCAAATGAAAAAATTATCTTTCAGCACCAAACTGCTATATTTTTTTAATTGTAGGATGTAAAGCTGACAGCAAGCAATGATGACTACTATTTTGTATTTGAGGATTATTTATATCAGGTAAGTAGCTAGTTCTGCTTTAGAAAAGATGAAAGTATGTATTTGTTGGATTGTAACATCTTTGGGGGAGGAACTGTGTTTTAGTACCTGTTTGGACTGTACCTAGCATAATGGGGCCCCTAATTGAGGGCCGTAGATGCTACTGTAATACAAAGAATAAATAATATCACTTTCTGGATATAGGTTATATAAAATAACCTTTATGCTGTAGAAAGACCAGGGTCACTCTCTCTCCTGTGTCAATGCCCTGGACTTTCTGAAGTCCCTTGAATTATCAAATAGAATATTTCTGAATTTGAACAAGACTAGTCTAGAAGCTGAGCAAGACACTTGGATGGGAGTGTATTGGAGGAGACAAAGACTTATTCAGAAGCCCCCAAATTGGAAATGATTCTACCTGTTTGTTTTTTCAATACAATAACATAAAAGGGATGAAGCCAGCCTGTTCTTTGTTTTTCCAGTAGTCATAAGTTAGTTGTTTCTTTTTCTTTTTCTTTTCTTTTTTTTAAAGTAGAGTTGGACACACAAATTGACTAAGTCTTGAGAAGAATAGTCAAAAATCTTAGCTTAAAAATAAAAATGTTGCTTGACAATGGCTTATTGTAATGGATAATGAAGTGGTTAACTATTTTAAAAATAAAAAATATAGTAATTTATAAATATAATGTGTGGATGCAGCAATGTCATTTTTCATCATTTCTAACATTTCTAGCAAATAATTTCTAGTTAATTTACATGGAATTATCTACATTACTTCCCTTTAAATCTTTTTAAATGGAAGGAGATTACATTCATGAATTTCCTAATGTGTATTTGATTGCAGTGTCAACATAAATGTCATGGAGCAAACTTACCATTTTCACAGCACTTTCAGCTTGATTGGTCACAGTTGTTAGGGTGGGCTTGTTTAATTTTGTTTTTCATAGCTACATGAAACTAAATATGTGCCTTTTGAAGTTAGTGTGCCCTATGTAAATCTGTGCTTAGGGTCTGGAGGAAAAAATAACCAAGAAACTATGCTTAATGCTGCTTGTAGAAAATGTATACATTTTGTAATTAAATATATTTATTCAAATATATCTGTATATATAAAACTTTACACAATTCTTTTAAGTGTCCATTTCAAATTATATCTCTATTTCATTTCAATTAAAAGTACAATGACCGTTTTCAAATAAAAATATATCTGAATTAAAATGTAATTTATATTCTGAAAAGAGACTTCATAAAAATTACATCCCAGGTATCCATATTTATTCAGTCTCAAATACTTCTGACTCCTAAACCGAGAAAAATATACATAGAATATAATTTTTCTGTCAGTCTTAGCATCTCAGGTTGGGAGCTGAAATCAAACTGTTCTTTTGGCTCAATAAATATGTTACAGTTAGTAGTTATCTGACAGTCATGAAGAAGAAAGAATAATTTGTTGGCTCTACCGTGATGACAGACATAAAAGCTTGTCTCTATCAGTGCTGGGAAGCTTATGTCACTCTGACATAGGAGAGCAAATATGCTAAATATGATGACATTTTTGCCGTCATTTCTCAGTACATAGCCACATTTGAAGGTTTTATTTTTGTTTCCTTTCAACATTTAAGTCTTGAGTAATAAAGATGAATGTGATTGTAGGAATTCAAAGAAACAAAAACCTCAAAAAGTATTGGATTTTAGCCACATAATCTCCAATGACTTCAACAACAGTCACCTAGCTAAATCCATGTGTGTGCTTTTTAAAAAGTGCAGAGCTAAATTTGGTTCTAAGATTCGAAAAACAACCCTAAACTTCTGATCACTCCTTGTGTCTCATTCCATTTAGTACTTTATTCCATTCTGCAAAATGGTTTGTAAAAGAAGTATATCTCCTAAAGACAACCTTCATTTCCTACCTAATCTTCAGCTTCAACTAGTTCTCAAATTGTTTCATTCTGTAGACCACCAAGAAGCAGCTCCACAGACCACAGTTTAAGAATCACTCTGCTATGGCATATTATTTGCTGATTCCAAATAAGTGAGGGGGATAAGTGGTTAAGTAAGAGAATTTGAACACTGAAAATTACAGCTTAAAAGGAATATAGGAATCAGTTGTCTGTCTAGTACTTCATTTTTTGGCAGAATTAGTTATTACATCTTAGATTGTAAACTTTTTGGGGAAAGGATGATGTCTACTTCTTAGGTTTGTACGGCACCCAAAGTGGGGCCCTGATCCTGTCTGGAGCATCTGGGCTTATGATAATATAAAGATTAAATAATAATAATTAATAATATTGAGTTGTACCATTGGTTCTCATTTAGTCATAAATAGGGGTCTACTTAAATTTTTCGCAGGTTGGTAACAGCATAAACAGACATTTGCTATTTATGCAGTGACCAGCCTACAAAACATTTTGTGATTTCTTTCCAGCATTTCTCAAACTGGGGAAATGCCAAAAGGGGGTGGCAAGCCTATTTGGGGTCGCAGTATTGCCATCCTTACTTCTCTGCTGCTCCCAGTGGAGGCGCTGCCTCAAGTTGGGCTGTGGGAGAAGCTGCTATCCGCTCTGCTTTCAGAGCTGGGTGGCGGGAGAGCAGTGGCTGCTGGCCAGGTGCCCAGCTCTGAAGGCAGCGCCACCAGCAGCAGCAGCAAAGAAGTGTAGGATTGCATATTACTTCTGTGCAGCTGTTGGCAGTGGTACTGCCTTCAGAGCTGAGTGCCTGGCCAGCAGCCATTGCTCTCCACTCTGCCTTCAGAACTGGGTGGCCGGAGACCAATTTCACAAGGGAGATCAGATTTCACAGTCCATGACCTGATTTTCACGGCCATGAATTTGGTAGACCCTTAGTCATAAATAATCCTTTGTGTGAAGAATACAGTGAGATAAAGTTGATCATTTTCAATTATTTGCATTAATGTGATTTCTACATTACATTTTTACCACTTTATAACTCTCCTACACTATGATTCAGCTCCATTGACATCCATTGTAAAATTCCTCTTTATCACATGCCCTATGATTTTATTACTTTAGGTTTATCCTTTGAATTTAGCGGTTAGTCCAATTTAGTCCAAAATTAAGAAGAAAATTAAACACCTCCGTTAGTTTGTCAAATATTTGTATACTTTAAAAAGAGCTTGTGTTATCATGGTTTTCTTTTGGCTTTATTTCTCTTCTGTGTGAGACACAGTATTAATAGATTTTAAGGCCAGAAGGGGCCATTATGATCATCTGGTCTGACTCTCTGCAGAACACAGCCCAAAGTACTTCACCTAGTAATTTCCATATCGAGCCATAACTTTGTTTGAGCTATTGCATACTTTTTAGAAAGATATTCAGTCTTGATTTAAAAACTTCCAGACACGAGAATTCCTAAGACAGGGCTGCAGATAAACGTTAGATTCTTTTTCCTACTGGGGAACATTGTTTATTTCCTTTTTCGATTAGTCTCTCCCACATCAGTTAATATATACTGAGTATTAACTTTGCCTGCTTATTGTTACAGTTTGAAGATGATTGTGAGTTATTCAATAACAATATTTAATTTAGAGTATTTAAGATAGATTGTTTATTTTTAAAAAGATGTTTAAATATGAGAAATAGTTTGGGATTCAAAAAAAGTAAAATGTTATCACAAAAAGAATATTATCTGTTTTCAAATAGAAGTGCAAGTGGTTTACAAAAGTCGCAATTTTGCATGTTTTTGAAAACTTTTTTTTATTTTTAATTTATTTTTAAAACTGTTTTATTATTTGAAAACTAATCACAATAATTTATTCAAAGAAAAAAACAGTTTATTTTATTAAACAGAAAATATGTAATGAAACAGCACTACAACATTTAAAACATTTTGATCTTCTTTTTTTTTTTTAATTGTAGGCCAGATTTAAAATATTCCCTATTAGAAACTATATTAAAGAATGTTTAAAATTGCAGAGATAAGCACTCAAGTCAGGAAACAGCAGACTCAACTTTAACTCTGCCACCTTGTGTATGTTTATGATGGTACAGTCTTTGATTGCATGATAACATTCAGATCTTCAAATATCATATAATATAATATGGCACAATTTTTCTATAACTTCAGATTCATATATTTCATCTTTTATTATTGTTATACCTAGGGTGACCAGAGAGGAAGTGTGAAAAATCGGGATTGGCAACTATATAAGAAAAAGCCGGGCCCCAAATATCAGGGACATCTGGTCACCCTAGTTATACCTATTCCAGGATTGCTCACAATGTGCTAGCCTCTTTTCTTCTTCAGAATCTAGAATGATCTCCCATGTACAGATATATTTGTGTTCTTATCCTAAACTATTAAACACTAAATATGCTTTTTGATAGCGGCTGATATAGTGCTGTCTTCCTAATCTGGTATTTTCCCATTGTGGTGCAGGGCCGACCAGAGGATTCAGGGGGCAAAGCAATTTCAGGGGTCCCTTCCATAAAAAACAGTTGCAATACTATAGAATACTATATTCTCGTGGGGGCCCCTGCAGGGCCTGGGGCAAATTGCCCCACTTGCGCTCCCCTCTGGGCGGCCCTATTGTGGTGTTTCATAATAAAGTGAATGTTGAGAATATACAATATCAAGATATTCTGTAAAGGCTCTGTGTCTGATGGAGAATGTTAGGAACTGCACATACACAAAAATGCACGTGCTTCATTTGTTTATGCAGTTAGTATGTTGGCTGTCAATCATGGTAATTGGGTATTGAAATAGCCTGCTAGACATGTAAGTGGTCAGTTACATGCATACATATAACTGCATGCACAAATGGTTTACACACACATCTCGTCATACACTGGTCTGAAAATACAAACCTAGAAATCTTGGACCATAACATGTTTCAAAAATTAAAATAGTCTCGTAAGAGTTTTTTCGCTATTAACTCTATAGCATTCGGTAAGGAAGATCTTAAAATGAAACAACTGCGAGTGCATAATTTTATGTTTGACACTGTTTTGTTCATCGAGCAAGTCAGATGATGTTTTTTTACTTTGCTTTCTGCAGGTATTACTCTGTTTTTCCCGAGATACATCAGTACTGGAGCACTTTTCTTACAATAGTGCTACTCCACCCAAATCATACATACGAGGTAAAGAAAAAGTATTGTGTAAGATAACATGAAGAGTAGTGTTGATTGCTGCATGTAGTATACCAAAAAAGCAAATCTCTATGGACTTTATGTATATTACATATGCACACAAAAAGTACATTAGAAGAACATAGTTAAGATCACAAAGTCAAACACTCAAAAGTTAAGAAATGCCAGAATTAAGGTTGCCTATGTATGTGCATTATGAAACAGTCTTTAATTACATGATCATATACTGTTTTTTCCACAGAACCCCTGCCTTATTCAGTGCACAGAATGAGCCAGCTGAGGCTGGGAAAATACTATAATTATTTATTTTACTGGTATTAGCACATAGGGTCCCCAGTTGTGGACCACGACACCATTGTGCTAGGTGCTGTACAAACAGAACAAAAAGGCAGTCTCTGTCCCAATGAGTTTACAGTCTGACAGACCACAGATGGATACAGGCAGACCAAAGGTTGCATACAAAGAAACAGTGAGACAATATTGGTCATCAGGATAGTCTACAGTCTCAGCATACCAGCAGTGTATAGCTTTTGTCTATTTTACGTAGGCCTATTGACAAAGGAGAGTTTTATGGAGGGTTTTGGAGGAAGCTAATGTTTTGAAGATGTTTACAGGAAATTTCTTAAAGGCGTGAGGGTCAGCATTAGAGAAAGCATGAAATATATGATCATGTCATTGAAGAGTATATGATGATGAATACACACATGAACGGGCAATCTTAATTCTCGTGTTTCCTGATTTTTGGAGTGCTTGACCTTAATATGATTTTAACTTAGGTTTTTTTGATGTGTAATTTCCTAGGTTTTTAAAAAAGCAAACTGAAAAAATAAATTCCATCATATGTTATCATATTGACACCTATAGGGGTCATCAGCAGGATTGGAACCTTGAGATCCACTATACAGACCTCTGCCACTTGAGCTAATGGAGTAACTGATTGCAGTAGCAGGTTGTCATCCTCTGTGTGGACAAGTACTATGGGGGATGGGACATTTTGTCAGGGTTTTTACAGATATTTGCTGACAGCAGAGGACTCAGGAATCTGCAATCCATTCCAGGCTCTGGACAGGAGTGTGTTCTTCTATCCATTTCCCCACCCCAAACTTGACCCCTTGCCTCATCACCTCCAACCTATCTCTTCTCCACCCCTGGCTCCTTGTCCCTGTCCCAATCTCTTTGTCCATCATATCCTACCCTTACTCTCTGCACTTTCTGTCCCACTTACAGTCTCTTGTCCAGCTCTTCATCTAATATACGGGGTGTGGGCTCTGGGAGGGAGTTTGGGTGTGGGAGGCAGGGCCGTCTCCAGCATTTCTGCCGCCCCAAGCAAAAAAACCAAAACCGCGATTGGCGGCGGCAGTTCGACGGCAGGTCCTTTGCTCCTAGAGGGAGTGAGGGACCTGCCGCCCCCGAATTGCCGCAGGGCCCCTCTCCCTTGGCTGCCCCAAGCACCTGCTTGTTAAGCTGGTGCCTGGAGCTGGCCCTGGTGGGAGGGAGCTCAGGGCAGGGAGTTGGGGCGCATGAGGGATTTGGGGGTGCTGGATACGGCGGGCGCTCACCTCGAGCTGCTCCCCGCAAGCAGTGACCTGTCCCTGCTGTTCCTAGGCGGAGGTGCAGTTTGGCAGCTTTGCACGCTGCCTCCTTGCCAATAGGAGCTCAGAGCCAGCACTTGGGATGGGGTGGGCCGGCACCCCCTGCCGCACCCAAACTCCCTCCCTGTTAGTTAACGGAATTTTTCACTTACTGGCACCCTCCCCCCCCCATTTCTCCAACATGCCAGATAAACAAGCTTTTACTGTATACAGACAATAAATGGTGTAAAGTTTTATTGACATAAGTTTGAGATAGTTAGCTATATTACTCATGAATGGTGAAGTCATGAGAGAGTTACTTTAGATACTCTAAATGAGTGCCAATAAAATCCTACCCTGACAAACTATCGTGTATTCTGTATATACTGCTTACTTTATAAAAGAAAAACTCCCATTGACTTTAATAGAGCCACGATTTCACCGCTTGAGTTTAACTGCATGGTACTTGGAAGGACAGAAGAATATAACAAATTTTATAAACCTATGAAACTTTAGTCATAGAATCATAGAATATCAGAGTTGGAAGGGACCTCAAGAGGTCATCTAGTCCAACCCCCTGCTCAAAGCAGGACCAATTCCCAGCTAAATCAATATCTCTAGGCCGTCGTGCCAGGAGGGCCCAGAGCAAATGGTGTATATAATCTTGGAAAGCTGGGACTCTTCCCTTTCCAGTCGTATACTCTCATTGCTAGTACATTCATGAGATACTAGATTAAAGTTACCATTGGAGCAAAACTGAATGTTGACCATTTTGGATTTCCATTCAGTGTAATTTTATTGAGAAACTCCACAGTTTGGTGAAGGATGAGAGAGTTTCTTAGCAGAGTCATTTTAAAAAATGGCATTTGTTTGAACTTACTTAGAAGTTTAGAACAAGTTCTGGTTCCAATGAATTAGTGGTCAGAATGTACATGATACTGCAGCTTCTAATAAGTCTCAAAGTTATCCCATGTATATCACCACTATGTATGTGTTGTGTATGATTGTATATTTTTTGTGTATATAATCTCAGTATATTCAAATAGCCATATTTTAATGTATTTGTGGTTAAACTTCTTCTTTATATGATAGTATTAAATCTAAAAATCAGATTAATTGTTACTAAGTCGTCCATTAAGTAGACAAACTTTCTCTTCCCACAGGGTTCATGTGTGTGTGTATATATACAGTTGGCCACAGCTAAACAGGGAAGCTTTTGATCCAGTTCTATTGGTTCCCTAGTACAGTAGAACCTCAGAATTAACAACACCAGAGTTACAAACTAACAGGTTAATCACACACCTCATTTGGAACCGAAACTATGCAATCAGGCAGTAGCAGAGACACTCTCCCCCCACCCCCACCCCCAAATAAATAAATAAATAAAAGCAAATACAGTACATTCACTATGTTAAACGTAAACTACTAAAAAAAAAAAAGGGGGGAAAGTTTAAAAAAAAATTTGGACAAAGTAAGAAAACTGTTTCTGTGCTTGTTTCATTTGAATTAAGATGGTTAAAAGCAGCATTTTTCTTCTGCATAGTAAAGTTTCAAAGCTGTATTAAGTCAATGTTCAGTGTAAACTTTTGAAAGAACAGCCATAACGTTTTGTTCAGAGTTACAAATGTTTCAGAGTTATGAACAACCTCCTTTCCCAAGGTGATCGTAATTCTGAGGTTCTACTGTACAGGAAACTATATAATGTAACACAGATTTTCTTGGTTTCCTGCTGGATTTGGCAATCTCTCTCTCACTGCAGAGGATCCTACTTTATAACATTTGCAAAATGCAAAGAACAAGAGATGAAAACATATAATATTCAAAGAGATCCTTTTTCTTATCATAACAAATAATCATTTATTAAGATTTTTAAACCATAAATTTAAATAACTAGTAATAACTTATATCTGTTCTAGTTGAATGTTCTCTTTTATCTTAAAACTATAGAAAAGAAATTAAAAACATCTTTTAAAATAGGTGCAGTTGTGTTTAAGAAAAGCACTGAAGTATGCCTCAAAATTGATGGTCGATATTTTTATTGTGGGTCTAAAAATAATTTTGTATAGTATTAGCACATGCTCGTTTTGCATAGAAATAGAAGAAATTGTGTGTTCATTTTTTGTGGTTGGCACCGATATTAGATTTGAAAAAAGGGCTTGTTGAAGCAATAGGGATTTTAAGATTTGAAAGAAAAATAGGTAAAGTAGTTCAGTTAGGGTACCCCTCCACTCTTCCAGTGATTCAGCCTTAATGCAACAATTTCCTTTTCCTCTCACTAACATTTTTGCACCTTACTAAGTGCTGTTCCTATGCATAGAACATTCTCCCTGTTCTGGTCTGCCAAGGCACTCTCCTTTTCATTTAAATCCTTTCTGAAAACTCACTTTTGTCTGCAAGGCCCACAGTGAGTGAGTCAGTTATACTCTTTATTAATTTTTATTTAACGAAACACAAAACGTAACAATCCTATTATTGAACTCTTCCTTCTCCCTCATCTCCCCTCTATTGTTTGTCAATCTCCTTTGTTGTGTCACGTCTGCGTTTTACATTTGAGGAACCCTATATCTTCTTTTACTATATGACTCATGTGAAATGTTTTGTGGTCAATATAAACTGATAAAAAAATTCATCATTAATGAACTTTTAATGATATTACTGAAAAGTAAATAAAGTTCACGTTTCTAAAGAGACTTTTTACCATTTGAGTGTGTTTAAACCTATGTCTGCTCATTCACAGGAAAACTTGGCATGGAAGAATATGCTGTTTTTTATCCACCAAATGGTAAGAGTTATACTATTGCCTCCTCTAGTGGAAGATGGGAAAATTACTACTTTTTGCAATGCAAAAATAAGCTAAACTTAACAAATAAGCAGAATAAGAGTGAACCTTAGCCAGTAGTATAATGAGATTAAAGTTATTGAGCTAGAACCTCACACTGGGTTATGTTGCTTTGCACCACTGCAAAGCCAGGTTAATTCTAGCTTTATTAGCCACTTGAGCATTCTCTATGTGGGGGAATATTCTGATGGCATAGGGTCGGGATAGCAGCTCATATTTCAGTCTCCTTGATTCATGCTTAGGGGACCTGACTGGAACACCACTTAATCCAGCTACTCCCCAGCTGCTCAGCACCTTTGGAAAGCATGCCATTGAGATGCTAATTTTAGACTTCTGCTTTTGAACATTTGGTCTTGATTTTTAGACACGAATGTATGAATATATTTATCACATTAATGCTATTAATGTTACCCTTATTGCTGCTGTTGTCTTTTTTTCTCACTGGTCATTTTGTCCATATCAACCCCCCTCCCCTTTGACTTCTGCTGCTGGCTTTTCATTGCCCTTTATATCAAGTTCATGCTCTTTGTCCTTGCTTTCAAGGTCCTACGTCACTGGTCTTGTGTCTGTATCTCTAACCTTGTCTCCTTTTGCGTCTTCTCCATTCCAGCAATGATGCCAGTCTTGGCATATCCTCTGTCGCATTCTCCCACCTCTGACTCCATGTATTCTTTTATGCAGCCCCCTAAGAATGAAGCATCCTCCTTAGACCCATTTGCCAAACACTTCCCTCTCCTCATTCAAATCCTCTCTAAACACTCATTTCAGCCATGTCACCTATGGGAAGTGAGATGATTTGGAAAAGAGAGGAAAACACAACTGCCAAGATGGCTACATATCTTTACTGGGTACTGCATGAACTCATTATTGTAACTCTTTCTTTTTTCCCTGTTCCATCCTTCTTGTCAGTGTATGGCCCTTGCTGGTTGTATCTTATCTGAAGCTGGGCCCTGATTTCATGAAAGCACATAAGCACATGCTTAAAGTTAAACATGTGCTTATATTCTTTGCTAAATCAGGTCCTTAATCCGATCTTACAGGTGCGTAAGGACATGCTTAACTTTAACCATGTGAGTAGTGGGAATACCCCCACTTACCAGTGGGAATACCCCCTGTTTAAATTAAGCATGTGTGTGTTTGCTTAGATCAGGGTCTAAGACTCTAAGCTCTTCAGGATATGGAATATGTCTTTAGTTGTTCCTGTGAAACCCAAAGCTCAGTTTAGGAATTTGAAAAAGCAATAAATATTAATACTTCTATGGATAAATAGATAAAAATAAAAGGATAAAAGAACCTTCCTTATTTTGTAGGTGTAATTCCTTTTCATGGCTTTTCAATGTATGGTAAGTATGACTTTCAAATATTACTATTTTAAGTAACAATTCTGCATAATTTTTTGTAAATAAACCACAGTTTATATCACACCATCCACATATTTTTGGTAAAATGTAAACTATTCTTTTATGCATTTTAAACATTTATGTATTGCACGTGTTTGTGTATCCAAGGTGTGTATGCATAATTAGAAAAATGTCCAGACTGATCTCATTTGCTCTTGTTGTAACTTGCTAACGTGGGAATCCCTATATAGAGAACTATTATTGGAGCAAAAAGAAGAACAGGAGTACTTGTGGCACCTTAGAGACTAACAAATTTATTAGAGCATAAGCTTTCGGGGACTACAGCCCACTTCTTCGGATGTGGCTGGGACACATAGTGAGTGGCATCATATAATGGAATTACAAAAATTTCTTTTGTGAATACAATGAATAATTCACAAAACATTAGCAGCTTGTTAATACTGGATGGTTTGGGCTCTCTCCCTTTACTGCATTAGTATGTCTTCTCTGGAAATCCTGATTT